GCCGCGCCTCCCAAGCGGCGCACTATCCAGTGCGCCATTGGGCCGGCCCTAGAGTCAGTCTTAAATATAATACCTAATCATTACCTCTGTAGTATTTCCTCAATATTTTAGTATTTGCTATTGTTATAACTAGATTGTAAACATTTTGAAAGAAAAGATCACATCTTAACATTATAGTAAGAGGTTGCATTTGCTCCAATATTTCCGTTGATTTACTCACCTACTGATGTATTTGTTCAGAGAGTAAATTCTACATAATTTATTATAGTTTTATTTAAAATTTTGCTTTAAATTTAACATGATGCTCTGCTTATATACAACATATGTTCTACCCATCAAATACTATTTTCTAGTTTTTGTTTAATTAAAATGCACAAATAGTGAAACAATGACAGTGTTTTGTGTTCTGTGGACAGCAATAAAAACCCAAAGCTCTTGATTATTTTGTGGCATATCTGCTTATTCTGAAATGAATATTGTTTGAATAAATTAATTGAATAAATAAATGACTAAAGTACATTTTGTCATGTCTTTTCTTTCATTGAGTGACACACCATGTGCCACAAAATGCTGCTACCTTTCACACATTGGGTGGGTTTCTTTATATTTGGACATATTTTTTTCTCATACAAAATGTTCTCAGATAGTTGTAAAGCAGTAAGAAGAATAATTTAATATCATCATAATAACTTATGCTGCATTATTTCTTAAACAAAGAAAAAACAGTCTTTCCTCCATTAAGTCATGTAAGCTATGTATAGGGTTTGCATCAAAATGTAATGCTTGCATTGAAGCACTATAGTGATCCCATTAGGGACTGGCCTACTTGAGATTTTCTTACATACTTTTACACTTTTTCTTTTTTTTTTTTTTTGTCTTTTTCCGTGTCCGGCAACGGATCGCAACCCTCAGTGTCGCCCCCGTACCGGGACGGGACCGGCAACGGGATCGCAACCCTCGGTGTTGCCCCCACGCCTCGCTCAGCCAGTGAGCGGGAACCGGTCTGTATGTGGGATCCGAACCCTCGGGCGGGAGCGCCGCTGCGCTTCCCAAGCGGCGCACTATCCAGTGCGCCACCGGGCCGGCCCTACACTTTTTCTTTTGATTGCAGAAGTAGCTGGAAAATGTGTGTAGAATCATGTTCTTTCTGCCTTCTTTGGAATGACTTCTCTAAGTTGGTTTTGCCACATGTACATAACTATATTTTAACCATTCAAGATGTTTTTAATCATCTTTTTTTTTTTGTCCTTTTTTTGAGACCGGCTGCACCGCGCTCAGCCAGTGAGCGCTGTGAGCGCACCGGATATCCCTATATAGGATCCAAACCCGTGGCGGGAGCGCTGCTGCGCTTCCAGCACTGCACTCTCCCGAGTGCGCCACGGGCTCGGCCCTTAATCATCTTTTTTAAAAGGGAAAGGTGATTATTTATATATTTCCTTAATCTTTGACTCCAATTATTAACTTCACTTGAGGTATTTTCCACTTAGACAGAAACTTATTTCTAGATCACTTTTTCTAAAGTGGTACCCTCTTTTGCTACTTTACTCCCATATCCTCCTTTATTTCTCTTTACAGCACTAATGCCATGTAATATATTTTAATGTTTTATATTTTAACTCTCTGCTTTCCTCATCTAGAATGATAAACTCTATGAAACCAGGCACCGCCTTATTATTTTATTCCTATGTCCTAGCATATAGTGTGATCAATCAATATTTACTGAATAAATTAATGGATGAATAGATGGTCAAATTCATATTTCAATTTTAATTCACTATGTGCCAGGAGAAGTATTTAACACAGAAAATTAAGTGTGCTAAATCTACCAACTTCCAAAAATATTTATCATATTTTTATGCTACTCATTAATAGATTTAAAATCCAAAATTAAAACTAGTATACATATATAAAAAAATATTTTAAAAAGTAGAGCATTTTTAATCCAATGATCATTCTCCAATTATTTAATTGCACACTCAATATTTAAATATAACTAAAATGATTAACTCATTTTTTAAGTCAAAATCAGAGTTTATTTCTGTTCTATCACATACATTTCTGGCAAAGATGCTTTGAGTTCTCATTTAGAAACATTGGCAACTTATTTTAAAATAGACTATTTGTTCCTTTCTAGTTAAATGTGCGAGACACAGAAATAGAACATTGTGTGATGGAACAGATGCTGTAGCAATGGTGAGTTTATATGAGGATTCTGGTGACAGATGCTGTCTTACAGCATTAGCCAATGAAAAGAAGCATGGGTATTACTATTTACAATTACTCAAAATGAGCTGGGCTGTGGGCAACCCCGAATGCACAATCTCACTCTCATGTACTGTAAGTGATCTTGTATTATGGGTATAATAAATATCTCAAGTTAATTTAAAAGAAAATAAAGACATTTATTTTAAGGCAGGTAGCGTGAATCACCTCCATTATGTTTTCTCTTAGGGAAGTGCTTTGTCCTTTATGGCAAGAAGAGAGAAACTAAAGACAAATAAAATTTACTGGGAATGGAATTCAT